ACTGGGAGATGATAATTCTCAATTCAAAGGGCTTTCTTCTTTTATTGGAATAATTGTACTGCATACTCCTTATAAACGTTAGTCTTCACCCCCATCCCCACCCCTGGGATAAATCCATCCCCTAAACAATGTAATTCTTATTTGTGTTAATGGTAAAGATGACAAGCCAATAGCAGCAGGAGAGAGTTGTTTGTGAATTTATGGGTTATTTTCTGCTTATACCTCAAACTAGGTAATTATCTGTGTCTTCACCCAGTAGGTTGGTTATATATCATTAGTAAGGATTAAGCCATAAGTCCCTGTCTACATTTTATAAGCATGTGTTACTCTTTCCGCTTACTTCAAGTTTATTTAACACTTTAGTGTAAAAACTTTTATGATTGAGGGAGAGAGCTGACATTTGGAAAGATACTGATAAAGGGATAATATACTTACTGGTTATTCTTTATTGCTTCATATTTGGATCTTGAGATATAACGTTTTAAAAAAATTTTAACACGTGTGATAGACGCTCATTGTTAAAAAAAAAAAGTACAACATGCAGATAAGTCATTCATGATCCCATCACCCAGGGTAACACTGTTAATATTTGGCTTATAGTATTTAAAACAATTTTCCTATATGGATATATATTTTTCCAAAATAAAAGAATCCTAATATTTATCTAGCTTGATAAGACATCTCAGGCAACTTTCTATGGAGAGGTATATTTCTGTACCATCATTTTTAATTGCTCCATTGCATTCAGGAATTTAAAGAACTTGAATGGTAGAATTCTGTTGTTTCTGCAGTCTTGGGGCATTACCAATATCTTGATAGAGGGAGAAAGTTGAGAGGACAGTTTAGTGATGCGAGCTAGTGAGTTGAGAATAATTGTAAACTGCTGCTCTAAGCTTGCATCTAAATATGACTTCACCTCTGAGGGTTCCAGCTGAGGCACTTAGTTAGCTGTTCTTGGTGACTCCACTTCACATACTGCTGAGAAACTTGAGGACCAGAATCAGGCTGCAAAAAGGAGGGAGTGGTGCCTGGTTGTTTTACAGGTTGAAAAGTCTTATAATTATGTCTCTACCAAACACACATATCAAGAGATGGTAGTTTTGTGGCGTTTGGCTTTTGTATATTGGAAGTTATCTTTTGGTGACCAAGCTTTACAATTCTGTTTTGGTCCACACCAGTTTACAACATAGATGGAGGTGTAGGAAAGGTAATGGCACTGTTTTTCCTGAGGAATATTTTGAGCCATTTTATGTGATTATCAATATTGCCTCTTTGTGATAAGCATCTGCTTAGGAAGCATGTATTTGTGCGTGATTTTGTGTTCAGAACAAAATCTTGAGTTAGGACCGTGGGGTTGGAAAGGAGTGAGATTTGTTAGAGACACAGCTGGAGTTGGGACCGTTGGTACAAGTGCTAATTGAACGCCATGTGGATGGTCAGATATGGTTACGTCTGGGGATTCAAGTCTGAGCTCTGGGGTAACGGGTGCTATTACTAAGAGAGGCAATGGGATCAAAAATAAGCATATAAGGTTACTGAGAGCCTCTTACTCATTCTGTTTCTCATAGCTGCTTGCATGTAGCAATACTCGATTATTCACTGCGTTGAATGGGTTCTGTTTTAGGCATGTTACGTTTTGGGGGGGTGCCATCCTTGTGAGTGAAACGTAGGTCACAGCTTGAGAAAAACTTGGGGCAAGGGACAGATTTCTTTCCTTTAAAAAAAATCAGCTTGGATTTCCCTGGTGGCGCAGTGGTTGAGAGTCCGCCTGCTGATGCAGGGGACACGGGTTCGTGCCCTGGTCTGGGAAGATCCCACATGCCGCGGAGCGGCTGGGCCCGTGAGCCATGGCCGCTGAGCCTGCGCGTCCGGAGCCTGTCCTCCACAACGGGAGAGGCCACAACAGTGAGAGGCCCGCATACCGAAAAAATAAAATAAAATAAAATAAAAAATCAGCTTTATTAAGATATAATTCATATAACTTGTAATTCATCAACTTAAATTGTACAATTCAGTGGTGTTTGGCATAGTCTGAGTTGTGCAACCATCACCACAATCAATTTTAGAACACTTTTATTGCCCCCAAAAGAAAAACTGTCCATCAGCCACTCCCTGTTTCTCCAACTCTTCCAACAGTAAGTGGTCACTAATCCACTTTCTGACTCCAGAGTTGCCTGCTCTGGACATTTCGTGTAAGTGAGATCTTACAATATGTGGTCTTTTGTGCCTGGCTTCTTTTACTTACATAAGGTTTTCAAGGTTTATCCATGTTGTGTCATGAATCGGCACATCATTTCTTTTCATAGTTAAGTAATACTCCATTGTGTGGATAGACCACATTTTGTTGATCCGTTCATCAGTTGATGAACATTTTGATTTGTTTCCACTTTTTGGCTCTTGTGAACAGTTCTGCGGTGAACATCCGTGTACAAGTTTTTGTGCGGGCATGTGGTTTTTGCACATGTTCCTCAGAGTGGAGTCGCTGGATCATGTGGTTACTCTGTGCTTAAAGGGACAGTTTTGAGTCATCCTGTTAGCAGAGAAGCTGCACGAAAAGGTGAGGTCATCAAAAAAGTGAAGCCTGGGAAGGGAGGTGTATCGAGGGTTGAACTGGAGAACACCCGCACCCTGGCAGGCAGGGAGACCCACAGAGCCCGTCTCTACCTTCTCTTCTACAGTAGTCTTTCCTGCAGTTACTCTTTTGGTCCATATGTGGTATGACAACCAAAAGCTGGATTGTTATCTGTCGATGGGAAAGGGAAACTGAACCAAATTAAAATGGAGCACTTCCAACCTTTTGGGAGCGGGGGCATCAAATAGCAATTTCACTTTATCCCTTAGCCCCCACGTATATACACACACACACACACACACACACACAAAATGGCTTAAAATCTAAAGTACCCCTAGAAATCCAGGAGCTAGTGGAGAAAGGGGAAGACTAGCTCCGGAAAGGATGCCTTTGTCGGCACGGTTTATGAAAGTCCCCTGTGAGTCTCACCTCACTCCTTTGCACGCCAGTACGTCTCTCCTTGCTTCTCTTTTGGCTTCAAGTTTCTTCACCAGCCCTCCTGTGTTACCTCAACCTTATGGACCAGCAGTCTGCTTTCCTGTAATTTCTAGTATTCGTATTTGTTAGTGGTATCGCGTTGATGTCCTTTCACCTTTGAGTAGGGTTCCTTGAAAACACTAAGGTGCTCACTCAGCAGATGAGAGCATAGGGACGTGAGTAAACCAGCCACCACAGGTTGGAAAACCAGGAGAAGGGCAGAATGGTCTGGAATGAGAGGACCTGTCATCTGCCCTTCCTCAGCCCCAGCTCCAGTCCAGACAGCACAAGCCAGTGTAGGGGACCTTCTGTCAAGGAGGAACAGTCGTCAACCCAGGAGTGCTCAAGGAGCGGGCTGCTCATTGACGGGGAGGCAGAGCGTGTGCCTTTGTGTAAGTGGCATCGGTGGGCTTTCCCCTATAATCAGGGTACGAACAGAGACAGGGCTCAGGGCCGCTGGGTCGTAAGGAGGGAGTTACGTGGTGTCTCGGAGAGTCCCTCATGCTCAAAAATCTGATCGTGGTGGGTGGAGAGATGGTGAGACAGCCTAACAGTCAAAAGAGTTCAGTAGCAAGCTCTGGGTATTACTTGTATGTAACATGTTTATTTTGGAGAAAGATGGACATTAGGAAGTGGTGAGAGTACATCTGAAACATCCTTTCCTTTGTATATTTCGGCCAAAGGAATCTGCCATAGGGTACTTCTGATAAATTCTTGTCATGAACTTAGAGATTCCAAATATTTCTCACCTTCTCTCTCCTCCTGTTTAGGGTTAAGGAAAACATCAAGAATGAAAGCGCGCAGTATCTCATTTGGTTATCATTTCCGCCTTGGTCAGGTCAAGTGGATTTTGTGGTGGAAACCACACGCGTTTGGTAGACTAAAATGGAAAAGTTACCGGCCAGGAGACCCTGGTTTTGGGTGTACCATTCCCTATCTGTGTGTGCGTTTGTTTTGATTACTTTAATAATACAGTATCATGAACTACTTAAATATGTACATTTTAGCAAATAACCCATGTTCCTATTACCCAATGTGAGAAGTGAAACATGACCAACACAGTGGAAGCCCTGGGTGTCCCCCGACTCCTTCCCTCAGTTAACCATGTAATAGGTCTATTGTTTAGATCCATGTTTAGGCAGGTCACCTTTACCCTCTTCACGTGTGGTGTTAGAACCTGTAAGAGGAGGACAACAGCCGCCCTGCTTAGCTCACTGGGTTGTTATGAGAATCAAATGAGTGGTGTCTGTGAAGGCACTTGAAAAATCTCGAGGTGCTGAGTTGAAGTCAGGAAGGATTTGCCCAAGAGCTGATTTAGTCGTGTTGGGTGCCAGCCTGTGTAGACACAGCTCAGGTGTTTAGTGAGCACTTTTCTCTATATCTTCTTCCAAAGAGAATTCTTAATGAAGAAAAGTCAGTGAATTGAATTCTTCAGAGTCCCTCAGTATATGTTAATTCAGCAAATATTTTCTGAGTACCTGCTATGTGTGAAACAACTATTCCAGGCAGCAGGGATATAGCAGCGAACAAAACACGCAAGGTTCACAACCTGAAAACAATTCAAAAACAATCTTTATTTTCTTATTTACATTGGGTCTATCCTTGGATGCTTAGACATGTCTTATTCTCATCTACATTTGATGAGATCTCACTTAAATCCAGATTTATACTAAGAATTGTTCACAAGGCAGTATTTGCATTGAAATTAGACAGATGTCATTAAAGGTTTAAGGTATTTATTTTCCTCAAACTCAGTCTCTTACAGAGAATTTTTTGGTGCCAGATAATGTTGGCATTTGAGTTAGAATTTTTTGCCTTTGTTGTAGCCAGTTTAAGCTGAGACAGCTTTCTACTACCGTGCAAGGTTTTAAACTTTTATCCCTTCCTTTGATTTGTGTCAGGGTGAGCTGTTTGATGTAAAAGACTTGACTCCAAATCTGCATCTGCCCCCATGCTGTCATCCGGCGTAGAGACCCAGCCCGTTCCACTCGATTCCTCCATGTCTGCCGAGGTGCAGGAATTATACTCTGAACTCCCAGTGAGTGTCTCCAAAGAGCTTCATGCTGACTCTGAGCCAAGTGCAATTCCAGATGTAAAACCTGGAGCCTCAAGCTCTCGTGTAAGTCAGAGTAGGGCAGTGCCCTTGGAGCTGCAGAGGACTCCTGTGGAAAGTTGTCACGAAGAAACCCCTGAGACCGTGGACCATGGGGGTGAGCCTGGGCGGTATGGGCTGGTGGACCCCACAGCAGAAGGTTCTGTGGCTTCTGGGATCTTGGATAGGGAAGTGAAAGCCAAGAGCATGGAGCAAAAGGTCTTCAGAGATGGAGGGGACCAGGCGGAGAGTGTAAGAGACCCCTGTGAGGGAGCAAAGGAAGACACACGTCAATATTGCACAGCTACTGAAGAGAAGCTCTGCCCCAGCCAGGTAAGAAATGAGATCTTGATGCAGATCAGTTGAGTGGGGATGGCATCTTTCCAACTGGACTAACACTTCTCAGAATAAAGTACAGAGTCTGACAGGTAGCTTATGATTTATTGAAGCATTTCCAAAATGTTGATTTTGATGTTAACTTTCTTTTGATGATTTTTAAAAACATTCGTGTCGCATCAGACACTTGAGGAGAGGAAGTGCTTATCTCATGAAAACGTGTCAGTCCTCTGACACAGCTACTGAATATGAAATGTTGAGTCTCTCTGTGACGGTCGTGTGGGATTTCTGTGTCTGATGTTAAGGAATGATGTGTACTCATTCCTTGAGTTTTGGTAGCGTCATGGTTAGGATAGAGTGAGGTGTCACAGGGGTATCTTTGAGGGAGACTATTGACCCAGCTAGGGCTTCATAGGATGGATACCCTCGTGGGGGTCTCCATATTTCAGAAGTAAGTCCCAAGCTTTGCAGGTCTAGAAACTTGACTTTCATCTTTTGTACGTCAGAGGTGATGATCTCCAAAAGACTGATCCAAGCTACCTCCCTTCATGAGAGGCTGAAGCTTAAATCAGAAAGCCAGTTCTTTAACTAATACACAGTGAAAAGTGGAATCACTGCTTGGTGTGGCATGGAAAATCCCATCTCTCTGAATTTGATATTGGAATAAGAGGGATTAGTTAGGTGAGACTAATGGTTAGTGAGCTAAGGTAGCCTGATGGACCCCAATTCCTAAAGGAAGTTTTATCTGCCAGGTGGACTAGAAAGCTTACTCTTTGCCCTGGATGGTGCCTTAGATCAAGAGTTAGTAAACTTTCTGTGTAAAGGGTCGTAAAGTAAATATTTTAGGCTTTGCAGGCCATATGGCCTCTGTTGAAACTACTCAACTCCGCCATTGTTGCTTGAAACCAGGCATAGGTGATTCTTACAAAAATTAGTGTGGCTGTATTCCAGTAAAGTGTTGTCTATAAGCACAGGCTGTAGTTTGTCAACCCCTGCTCTATGTACTAATAAATTCCTATTCTCTGGACTTCCTGGGCTAGGCTCCATTCCCCACCTGATAAAAATACATCATTTCTTTACACAGGTTGCAGGGCAATTGACTGTCATTAGTAGGCTGCATATATTAACCATAATTAAGAATAGATAAAGCGTGAAGTAACAGTTGAAAAAAATATCAGATTTTATGCTGTGATGACCTATCCTTAAAAATATAGTTAAATTAACAGACCCAAAGTTCCTTACTCCTTGCTATGGTGGGCTGTGTCTAACAAGATGGAAAGTTTTCTTCGTGTAAAATTTGATACAAAATGAAATTATGCATATATAAATGAACACAACATACTTATATCAGTACATGTTTATACATACATATATACGTACCACCCAACTCGAGAACTAGAAGATTACTGTCTCCCTATTCCTTTTCTGAACCATTCCCTTTCTCCCTTTTAACTCCACCAGAGGTAAATTCTATTTTGAATTGTGTAAAGCAAAATGAAATTTAATAGATACAAATGCAAGATTTTGTACTTGGTTTCATAAAGGGAACTACACACAAGTGGAAAACAGAAGTGAAAAACAGAAGCCCCACAGGTTTTAACTGGTTAATTAGAATTGACTCTGTAGCTGCCAAGAAAAGCCAGTTTGCTCTTAATATACATTAACAAAATGTGTTGACTGGACAGAGGTGGTGGTTGTGTGCTTGTGTGCTGGTTCGCCTGTACCTAGAGTATCATCCTCATGGTTCTCTCTCCCCTACCCCTCCAGCACTCAGATGAGCTCAAGATACAGGGAGGATGGGGTGGGGAGCAGAGGGGAAGCAAGGAATGAGTCAGTGTTGGGTACCTGGCCAAAGCAGAGCCTGTCCCTTCCTTTTCACATTGAGCCTGGGGTCATGTGGGAGGAATGTATTCATGGATAAGAATTCACACTAAGGACACAACGTGAAAATACCCCATTGGAAGCCGAGTTGCTGGGTCTTCCTGAAAAATCAGGAGGAATGAGAGAAGCCTTTGAGACTTTGGAGGGTTGAGCAGAGCAGTTCTGTTGGGCACAGTTAAGCTCAGGGGAAGACGGGTGGGACGGTGGCAGCTCCTGACATTCTTAGGTCACAGCACCATTGGAAATCTGGATGAATGCTGCAGGCCTCTCAGAAAAGCAGACATGCCATTCCGGAAGGTCTGCAGACTCCAGCCATCTCTGGACCCCAGGTTAACTTGCTAGATGGCAAAAACACCACAAACATAGTCAAAAGACAACTGACACATTGGGAGGACATATTTGCAACGTATATCATGGATAATGGGCTTATATCTCTAATGTATAAAGACCTCTTAAATTGGGGAATGAAAAAACCCAATAGAAAAATGGAGGAGACACTTGATAAGTCACTGTGCGCATGTGTGTTTGTGTGTGTATTGTGTTTAAACACATGAAGATGGCCAACCTCACTCATAATTAGAGATGCAAATTTAAACAACCCATTACACTACTTTTATGAAACCTATCAGATTGGTGAACATGAAGAATTATGACAACACACCTGGTTGGCAAGGCTGTGAGGAAAACGGCTGTTCTCACACATGGCTGGTGGGAATGCATACTGATACAACGTTGCAGAAGAGGAATTGGGCTACACTTAACAAAACTATGCCCTGACCTGTTGACCCAGAACTCTCATTTCTAGAGAGTATCTACCCTGAAGATACACCTCCCACAGCGTAAAAATATGTATACACAAGGTTATTGTTTGAAGCGTAGTTTATTATTGCAAAATGTTGGAAGCAACCTAAATGCCCACCTATAGGAGACAGGTTGAATAAACTATGGTATATAAACATCCTTCCCAGGAGCCCTGTGCAACTGTAATAAAGAATGAAGATCTTCATGTACAGGTACAGGTGTCCCCTAGACCACTTCTGCGTTTGGTGATTCTCTGGAATTCACGGGACACTGCACATAGTCAGATTCACAGCTAAGATTAATTACAGTGTAAGGACATAAAGCAATCAGCAAAGGGAAGAGGGCATGGGGGCAATGTCTAGAGGAAATCACGCACAGGCTCCCAGGAGTCCTCTCCGAGTGTAGTCACACACACTTCACTTCCTCTGGGAACAAATTCTGCTCATACATGTGAAATGCCTACCATGGAAGCTTGTTAGAGTTCAGGCTGGTCACATGGGCATCCTCTGGCTGGTACATACCAAAATCCCAGACATCACAGGAGGAAAGCAGGGGTTCCCCATGAATCACATTGTTGTATAGGTGTCGTGAGCCACTCTGATCATTTAGGAAATGGTGGAGACTCTTCTGCAATCTAAGTTTCCAGATGCTAGCCAAGGCTACCCTTGTAAGCATGCCTTTCTTAGAATAACAGTCAGGCCTGCTGCTGTTAACTCTTCTGCAAAGGAGGATATACTAAGTGAAAAGAGCAAACTGTGAAGGACTTTCTATAGTATCCTCCCTTTCATGCATGAAATAAGGGGAAATAAGTGTACAAGTGTGTGCTCATTTGTATAAAACACACACATGTGTACACACAGGAGGGATGAGCCAGAGAAGAACCATGTCACTTCTGTGGGGTTCCTGCCCCCCAGATGCACAACCAGGATCTGATCATGAGGAAACATCTGACAAACCCAAACCAAGCAACTTTCTTTCCAAAAGTTATGAAAGATGAATACGTACGGAACCCTCTTAGTTGAAGGGAGACTGAGGAGGCATGATGACTAAATGCATTCTGGAAGCCTGGATTGGATCCTGGTCCCGAAAAAGGGTGTTATGGAGCCATTAACAAGATTTGAATAAGGTCTTTAGACTAGTTAGTATTTTATTAGTGTTAATAACTATACTGTGGTTATGTAAGATGTTAACATTAGGGAAAGCTGGATGAAGACTATACAAGAAATTTTTTTGACCAATATTTGCAATTTTTTGGTGTATGTAAAAGATTATTTCTAAATCAAATGTTTAAAAACTTTAAAAATATTATAACAATTAAAAAACAAAACAAAAAAACCCCTCTTCTTGATAGAGGGAGACAGAATTTAACTCAGTATGAGAGGTGCTTTTTAACAGCTAGACCAGTCTAGAAATGGCTTAGGTTACTCAGGGAAGTCCTGTTTATAAAGAGGCTCAGTGACTGTTGGTCAGGAATATAGCAAAGGGGATTCTAACTCAGACAAGCAACCTCAGAGGTGTTCTTTTCCATGCTGACATTCTGTGATTTTGTTCTAATAGTTGATTTGCCTTTAGCAGCATTCCACAAAGTTTTTTCCTTCAGCTGTTGTTCATCTCAAACCAACAAAGAGGCCCACGATCGTGCACTGGCTCCAGTTTGGGGAAAAGTACTCAGAGGTTATCACTTAACCCACTCTTCTCTGTTCCCTCTGAACCAAAATCAGTCAAGGCGGAAGGGTACTGACTTCAACAGAGCTCGGCTCCAGGAATAAGAACTTGCTGTGGTTGTGAAGGACGGCCACCTACACTTTCCGGCGTGGATTGCATGAATTAAATGAATTTAATGAAGTTAAGTCTGCTTGGTGAATTTCCCAGTTCATGGAGAAGAACAGCACCAATATTTAGAATTAGAAGTTTACGCTTTTTTTGTACCTTGGGCCCTGATGAAGCCTAAACTGTTTTTGTGAAATATTCATTTCATTCACTCATTTAACCTCTCGAGGTCATTATTAGTTGTGTTTTTGTTTTTCTGTTTTTTTGGTTGTTGTTGTAAAAGAAAAACAAAGTACATGTTATCTTATGAAGCAACTTATTTTTAAATGTTGGTCTTAACTTTTCTTTTGGCTTTTTTTTACTGTGGTAAAATACATATAACATTTACCATTTTTATTATTTGTAACGCTTCCGTGACATTAAGTACATTCACATTGTTGTGTAACCATCACCACCATTCATCTCCAGAACTCTTTTTATATTCCCAAATTGGAACTCTGTCCCCATTAAACAATAACTCCCCATATGCCCTCCCCCAGCCCCTG